ATTTACTGCAGGAGAAAAAAAATAAACATGTTATTTGCCGGCTTAGGGTCGGTCCGTATAGTGAAAACCTGTGACCTCGGCCTTCAAAATGCTGCCCGAGGCCGCAGGCCGAGGGCAGCATTTTCAAGACCTCGGTCACAGTTTTTCACCATACGGACTTCCCAGCCGGCAAATATCATATATATATTTTTACGAGTTGTGCTGTGTTTTGACAAGCGAGTAGGGCGAGTCAAAATACAAACAACGAATAAAAAATTTAAAGCGATACTGCGCACCAAAACGTCTAATAAGAGATTTATCATCCAACTCTGTAGTCAATAATTTATCAATGAAAGAGGCAGAGTGTGACAGTTTTGTGCGTGCGCGCCGAACTGTGCGGCTGATAGGTTTTCTGTTGTAAAAATAACTGTACAATATCGATATCGCTGTATAATTGTACTGTTATTTGGACGGTGTTCGCTGCAGTTGGATAATAAACGCTCTTATGCAGTTTGGTTAATATTACGATGTTACGCCTGAAAACTTTTTCAACCTTTGGTTAGAAAGTGGCATTTTATAAGGATTATCAATAATGATGAAACGTCTCTGATGGAAGTTCATCGGATGAAAATGTTAGCATGGGGATTAGCCACATTTTTCATATAAGACCATTTGCCAGACGTTACACCACAAGGATCACTGATGGGAAAGTATTTCCGCGTACAACCGTCGAAATAGTAGTATCCGTCAACCTAGAATGAGGCTGAGAGAAACACTGGCCCACAATTTGAACCATCACTAGGTGAAACTGAGGAAGGTGCTGGCGTCTCCAAACACTTGTCGCTCACGCGTTTGACAATCTGACAACTGACGCTCTCTTCCTGCCAATCAGCCAAACTTCCTGTTCCCGGATTACATATCAACCAGTTGTTTATGTTGCTCTTGATGAGGACCTGTCTGCCAAGTTGTTTCCACAGAGAGAACTCCATGGCGTTGTAGTCTGTTTCGCTCAGTGGTGGAGTTGTTGATATGGGAACATCCGCTTGCGGGTTGGCTGGCCAATTTGGTCTTGGTGTGACTACGTTTGACCCAGCCAGGAAAAATTCATAATTAGTGAAGGTATGACTCCACACTAGAGTCCAGCCTCCTTCATTAGTCTCCATGTCACAGTAAGCCTTGAACGCGTTGGTATGGGACCCACCGTCTGGATTAATCCGATAAACTCCCGAGAGAGGAAGGGGAGATTGACTGCGCAGGGTCTGGCACGAGAGGACTGCTGAAGATTAACTGGTACTTGCCCCTTGTTAATCAATATAATATACATTTCTTGTCAATTGTAATAAGTCAATAAGTCACATCAAGAGAAACAACATAATCTCTCGGTCAGATAATGTCAAACTCAGTAAAGACATCTGGAATTATCAAACTCTTCATTCTCTTGATATAGTGCTACTTCGCATAACTGTGTCGCATGGCATAATTCTGAGGCAATGTTAGGTTAGAGTTATTATTATTATTATTATTATTATTATTATTATTATTATTATTATTATTTTGGTTTTTGCAAACGTAGCGATCAGCGTTCCTCTCTCCCCTGAAAAAATAAACTATTATTTTGGTTTTCCCGTCAGTTTGAGAGTAATGCTCCGCATTATTAATTTAAAAAAGGGCTTAAAACTTGTGACAGATCCTCTTAAGGTTCTGTTTCAGCTGACAAGTTTCGTTCAGTTAAAATATTTCAGCCTTATAAGAACTAATAGAATGTTCTTAAAATGTTTCGCAATCACATATCCTGGCTTGATGTAAATAAAGAAAATTAAGAACAGTTGCTTAGTTATTATATCAGAACTCAAGTTAATGAAAAGAAGAAAAAAAAGCTCAACTTACCGCCTGAAGCTGGAGTCGACGGCGATGTTGAGGTATTATTTATAACCTGTATTATCTTGAAAAGAAGTGCATGAAAGATCACTTGACGCGTACGAACATGCAGGAAAAAGAGGGTTAAGTTAAAAAAAAAAAAGGCTTCATATCATCAGAGTCCAGGCTTTTTTTTTAACTAAATAGTGACTCATCACATGTTCAAAAACCGACGCGTTTAAAGTTTGAGGCCCAAAGGTCAAATTAAGTTTCCCTTAATAAAAGACTACTTTCGATATACTAAAACAGTTCAGCTTGATAGCGAAGCCTAGAAGACACAAACAAAACAATTGAATAAACCTGCTCATTCAATTTCCTTTGTTTGAGTCCTCTAGGCCTCATTGCCAAGCTGAATTTTAATATATCGAAAACAATCTATTGGTTCCCGTTACTAAAATCAAACACAACCGCACAACACACCTTTTTCAAATAGAACGAGTGTTCTCGTTGTAAAAGCAAGTCAGAATGCTTCGTTTGTTTTTCATTGTGTAGCGAGCATCTTCCTTCACTTGTCATAAAACTGGCACTTTTGCAAGTAGCTTGCCATGCACACTTTTGTCAACAGGACAGTAAGGAGGCAGCCTTTCCATTCCAAATAGTATTTTCATCAGACAGAAAAGAGTTTTTTCTGATCTTGAAGAAAGCGCCATATGGTTCTGCTCTGATCGATGCTGTTAAGAACAGCATGAATACAACTGTCATCGGCGGCTTCTGGGAAGAAAATCGATGGACAGGCATTGAGCTAGAGAAGTGAAAGTGAAACGAACGGCAAATTTGAGTTAATGCTGAGAAATTTAGCAGCTGTGCATTAAAAAAAAGTGACGTGATATCTTAGAAATTTAACAGCCCTACCATGAATTTTCTGAAGTTCCTTGCACGCACTGATGTTCCTCTAGATATAACAAGTGTTTTATTTTTCGTAAAATAACAGAGTGTACGTGAAGCCTTCTCGTTTATAATTTCTGGATGTGTGAGACACTGCGTTTAACTGTTTTACGCTATTTTTCATTCAGCAGCCAGGCAGGTGTGTAAATAATGAATTGTCTAACTATAATATCGTTTGTTGAAATTGTTGATATTCTGTTTCCGCGAACAAACCACATCGCACTCGAGTTACTGTCTTCTGTTTCGTGTTTTATTAAATTTTCTCTCCTTTTGGGGTAAGCTGTATAGTATTCTAAAACGCGATTCGACATTGAATAAAACCTATTGTAAAGAAACACTTAGCTGTTCTTACAAGTGTATATATGAAAGATCATATATTTGAACTGCGGAGGAAGATATGACCAAATGATTGATCATCCCAGGTATACACCCATACAACTTAAGCAGTTGTGAACGGGTATGAACGGGATTCGAACGTAACCCATGACCTCTGCGATACCGGTGCAGTGCTCTACCAACCGAGCTATCAATCCGGCTGGGAGCTGGTCACATTGTGACTTCGACATATACCTATAGATGGTGAGGAATACAATCGACTATGTAAAAGATCATATATTTGAACTGCGGAGAAAGATATGAACCAATGATTGATCATCGCAGCTGTACACACAACTTAAACAGGTGAAATTAAAAGATGGTTCGATACAGTTTTTTTTCTGGACCATACCTAGCATTTTCAAATGGCGTTTTACCAACCTTGCCTTACACCAGTTATTGGAAAAAGATTGAAGTTTGGTTGAATATGATTTTTAACGTAATCGATATTTCCATGGAAACGATAAACCAAAGATATGAAAATCTCGGTAAAGTATGAATTTTGCACGAACCAGGTGTGTTGTAGAAAATCTGATGCCAATTTCTGAAATTACGATGTATGGCAAGGGCCGGAATATGCAAGAATAAAAACAATCTGTGTGTTTGATTTCGAATAAATCGCGAAAACATTTCAGACCATGCTTTTTGTTTAATGAAATTAAATGGACTGAAGGAAGGACACGTGGTGGGTCTTTTTTTTTCTTGAAATAGTTTTTAAACCCGCTAAAAGATCACAAATTTGTTACGGCCCCACGTCTGGTCAAAAACAAGCAAAATTTAGGGACTCAGACCTTATCAAAAACTTCGCTCTTTCAATCTGCATCACAATAACCGGCACTACCGTGTGAGCCTGGAAATGTATTGTTGAGGGTTTTACAAGTATTTTTGAGACCAATCATACTTCTGTGGGTCGATTTTCAAGCTCACGACTAGCCGCTTAAAATCACTAAAATTCGCTTCCTCAAAATTCTTAATGACGCACACTTTTTCAATAGGCAAATTCGCTACCCGGTAAAACGACTATTACCACTTTCATTGTTAAGTTATCAGATCTAGACTCTCTGTTAAAGAGTTTGCTCCGCTCTTTAAACAATAAAAATGGAAACAAGCATACTTTAACAACAACAAAAATATATCTACTCTTTCTGCTTCGTCTTCAACACCTATTTATTCCAACGCATACAATCCCGTTACAGCTAAATATTGAAATGAATCTTACAAATATCTTTCGAACTAAATTATTTACAAATAAATATTTTTGCAGTTGTCATAGCAGCGGGGATATTGTGAATAGAAACAAAACAGAACTAAACACAGCAAGGAACCAGATTTGATATATGTTTGGCCGCAAAAGCTGTTTTACCTGCTGGCCTCTAATCAGACGCCGAAGAAATTTCGAAAAACGCGGAAGTTCAAACCACATGACTTAAAGAAAACATCCCTTATTCGAATTCGTCAAGATTAATTTTTTTTGTTTTTGTTTTAATTGGAAGAACAATCAATCATATTTGCACTGCACATTTCTAGAGATAATGAGAAAGTGTATGGAACTTCATTACGTGAAAAAAGCAAAAAAAGGGTATTAGAACGGTGAAAGCTTAAAATTGTTGTTTTCCCAGTCTTTGCATGAAACCAGAGCCAGTTCTTGAAATATAATAAACTCAAAATATCGTTTAAATAATCAGGTTTATAGAAAAAAGATGGCTTTCATCGGCATGAGCAAAGCATGCATTAAAGGTAACGATAAAAGGACTCATTAAAAAAAACACGTCAATTCTCGGTTTACAGTTAAAGGAGCTAGGTCATAGTTTGCGCTTGTTGATAAGGTTGGCGTACAGTTTTCAAGTGCGTCGCTTGTAATCCATATTAACTTCTCCGTCCTTAATCATCCTTGTTCTTTTATAGTTTATTATAACTCAGTGGTGTTTTTCTATTTCAGTAAACTACTATAAATACCGTGACTAAGTTCCTTCGCAATGTCAAATAATTTGCCACTTTCAGTTAAGCTCCATGCAAACCCTCATATGACAAAGCGCAAGAAACATCAGGAATCTTCGTCAAAAGTCCGTATGTACAGTATATTGACTTAAACTTAAATCAGACACTACAGGCAGAAATGATCGAAATTATAGACAACTATAAAAACAATAATTTTAAAACTGATCAAAGAAAAGGAAATTGCGTTTTTCGCATGAGAATGGTATCCACTCTCAGTCAAGTCCCGGTGTGATCAAGTTGACATGCGCATCAAATCTTAGCGAACAAAAATATTCCCATGAGGATTTTCTACATTTCTCAGGCGATTGTCCTCGCCCATTCTACAGGGGTTATGTGCAAGTTTGCCTCTTCCTGTGCAGCCAACGAAGTAATAGCACTGTCCACCACCTTTCCATAAAAGGGCTGGTCCGCAAAAACCTCCAGCCCTGAGATGCGAAGGTGGAAGCCCATTTGAACATGTGTCAGCCACTTGCTTGGCGATCTTACAGGTGACGTTCCCAGTCTTCCACTCTACCAAACTTCCTGCATCTGGTGAACAAATCAACCACTTGTTGATGTTGCTCTTGATGAGGAATTCCTCCCCAAACTCCTTCCACAGTGAAAACTCCATGGCATTGTAGTCAGTTTCATTTGCTGGTGATTTCGTAGATATTGGAACATTCACACCAGCCTGGGCTCGCCAATTAGGTCTGGGGGTAACTGCGTTTGTGTTGGCATCAAAATTCCCGTAATCAGTAAACGTGTAACTCCACACTAGAGTCCAGCCTCCTTCATCAGTATCCATTTCACAGTAGACCTTGAACGCGTTGGCATGGGATCCACCATCTACATCGACCCAATACATGCCACTAGGATGGAGGTTTGAGTGCAGAGCCTTGCACGAGGGAACAGCCAGCTCTTGAGTGGAACCTACGCGAAAGAGGCAAAATTCTGTTAGTAACACAACGGATGATAAATTGAAATTTTACAAACGTTTTTAAAAGTTTTCGAAAAACATAATTCATCTGTTCAAATAAATTTGCAAGTGTAGCGATAATAAAGGTTTTAAAAGAAAACAGTGATGAATTAAGTGAGGCCGAACTTACCAAGGTCTGAATCGATCTGTGAGAGACCAAAAAGAGAGTATTACTGAAATGAAATTAAGTACTTGCTTACCAATCATAAAATTATTATTTAATGATTGAATACTGTCTCAAGATTTTCTACTGTTGTTACAATTTTTATTCTCGGATTATTTGCCATACCTTTAGCAGGTGAATTGTGTTGTCTTGTCTTTGAAATAGTAGCGGATGTGTTCTCCGTGTTTTCTTCGTAAGAGAGCACATCTCCTCGCTTTTGATAAAGTTGGCGCTCTTGCAGCGTTTGTCCCTGGTACATTGCCGTGAACAGGATGTCAAAGATTCAGATGTTCGTTCAGAAAAAGGAGTTTCATCAAAGAGAATAGAGTTGTTCACTATTTCAAAGACAGCTTGCATTGATTCTTGAGCTCTTGTGTTAGTTGTTTGGAAAAGGAAAAAGATTGCAATGGCCAGCATCTGTTGACAAATATAAAATGCATCTGTCACTAACAAATAGAGATCATCGGATTAATTTTTTTTAAAAGTTCTCAATTCAATGCTGCAATAAGAATCGAGCAGTTTGGAGTGATTTTTCAGGCTGAGATTTGTGCATGTATTTGATCCATCTTTTTTGCGAGTACAGCATAATCAAGCAACGAATGTTTTACTTCTTGTTTTGGGGGTTTGTAAAGTGTTTCATAACAGTTGAACCGCACCAATTTGAACTCAATTATCTCGAATATCCCGTCATTTCGAACTCAAAACCATTTTCCCTGGATTTTTCTTTCAGTCATTTACTATCGGCTGTTTTGAACCCCCACCATTTCGAACTATTTTTCGTTTCCGCTAAGAGTTCGAAATAACGGGCCTCAGACAAACCATCGAAATGGCTAGTTATGCATTTCGTTCTTCAATTATTAATAACTTGAAATGAAACGAACTTAATTTAATTTCCTGTTGAAGGATGCACAACCTGAAGGCAAGCACAAGGACTTTCTATTTCAGGGGAACAATCATCTTGATAATTGATATCAAGGCTGTATTTGGGAGTGTGAATTTACTTTCGAATCTAGTTTAAAATTATGTCATACAATTATGTAAGTTTTCATGCCTGATTCCGATTAAAATTATGATTCTAGTGTCAAAGTTATCAGAATCCCTCTAATTTTAAGAGTTTCTTTCGCTCTTTAAAGACCAGAAGAAAACGAGAAAATATAACTCAAATATGTTACAGTAATAAGAATCACTAGTAGAAAAGATTGATACACTACAGATACCTCCATTAGATGCCTTGTCTTCAATACTTGCGTTACTACAACGCGTTCAATCTCGTGAATATTAAATATTGAAATGACTCTCTCAAATAAAGTTTGAACTAAGTCATTAACAGATAAAAATATTTTTCGGTTGTCATTAAAATTAATGATGTTTTCATGCACTCACGTAGCAATGTTTAAAGATCCACTAAGAGAACCCAAAACATAATCGTGATCAAACAATGCAATCGCAGTTTAATGAAATACATGCTAACTGTGATTAATCATTGTCAGCTTGATACTGTTTTTATTGAGTTTCCTTCGTGTCAGTTCAAGTAATATTTTAAAAACGAGGTAGTGTTTCGACATCGTTTACAACTCTTGGAGGAGAGTTCAAAACATGACGCAAAGAGAAATATTTTTGACGATCTTCGAGATTCTTGGAATCCTCAGTAGGAATAAAGGTGGCGACCGGTATATTTACCCATAGTTCTTAGCGCACGAGAGCTTTGACATCACTCATGAAAACGTACACTACATCAAACATTGCAAAAATATGGCTTTCGATCTTCTTTGTACTTTGTGCGCTATGTAGGGCTCGCTTGGTATTGTGGCAAAATGTACAGCCGCCATCTTTGCTCTTACAGAAGATTACAGTGAGTCTCAGTCCTTGCCAATTTTAGATCAGATGTCCAAACCATCAACTATTACTTTCATCCAAATTGCAGTTTGTTATCGTGTTAATTGATCACACATAAATTTAATATTTCAGGAAACGTTTTCCTTTTACCTACTCGATTATAGTTAAATTTGATAATCTTATCCAGAAAAGTCATTTTTTAGGTTTTTGGTTGTAAGGCAAATGGAACATCATTTTCGGGTTTTGGAAACTTTTTCTATTTTTTTCCCTAAAAACAGGATAACCTAAGACTTTTGATAGTGTCTTCCAGGAAAGTTTGTTTCATTCAGTTTGGCTCTCGTAACGTTCGGCGATAAGTCTGTATCTTGGACATTAAACATAACTCTTTTTCGCATTTTCTTGACACGACTGATCTTCTAAACTATCCGTACAGATAACCCCCTAACAGTGCGAAAAAAAGATGACGAGGAACAGCTGATTCGGCAAAATTTCGTCAAGGAATAGGTGGTGGGCAGACCAACAGAGTAAGTTCCCTTCAAAATTCTGGACCGTAACCGCTGTCATGAAATGTCGGACAAACAGTACAAGGCAACATTTTGAAAACGTACTGAAATTTGATATTCATAGATGTTTCCAAAACAACGTTTTTCTCTTGATCTTAAAGTTGTGCTTTGCTTGTGCCAGTTTTGC